TAACTGTTAAATATGCATATCCAGATAGAATAAATATGGGGAAAGGCCAGTAATCTAGAAAGGGGCCAATGAGACTAGGGACAAAAGATGCCTCGGGGGGAGGGGGTGAGGAAGACACTAGAACAAAATGGAAGGGAAGAATACTGGGATAAAAGAATATGTGGGAAAAGGAGCCATGGTGATGAGGAAGGCCTATGATGCAGAGAAACACCCATAAAGTATGAATGGAAATCTATTATCATTCTGTAAACTAATTTTGAAATGTGGGAGGAAGGGAAGGTTGCATTCTATAAGAGAATTAATAAACGAATATATATAATAAATGAATGATTGAATACATAAATAAATATTTTGAAAAATGTGTCATATGTATAGCTTGAGTCTATTGTTAGAATCTTGAGGAATAAAGATGCTGTGCCACCAGAAACTAAACGCTAATTTACTTTTAGTGAATAAGCTATGTGTTTTGATACAAATTTGCTAATTTATTAAGCACTCAGGTAGCCCACCAAAATTGATGATCATCACTCCAAAAAATAAGCAGCAACTTAAGTGATAGTTAATGAAATTAAAAATTTAAGCAAACCTTTCAAACTAAGAGGAACTATTGGGGAAGAGAAGAACATGGTGGGAGAAGAAAGGAGAGGATGAAATTGAACACAATGAAAAGGCCATGATGGAGCACACGGCTCTGTATGACCGATGCTAACAAATTACTTTTTAAAAATGAAGCATTGGTAAGTGTTTGAGCATGGGAAGCCTTTGAAAGCATTATACTGGGAAAAAAGAAGCTACTTTTAAGCACAGTGTTATGGTTCTGTTTTATGAAACATACAGAATGGAAAACCTACAATTTTTCAGTCACTGTTTACACAGTGACCATTTCTCCAAGCCTCAAAATTATACCCCTGAGAACTTTAGCAAGCCACCCCCAAGCAACTAGAAAAAGTAAAAAAGAACTTTTTCCCCCTCTGTTTAAGCACCCTTTGATATTTCATTCTAGCATGATTTTTCAAGAATTGTCCATCAAAATGGACAAAATCCATTGTGATTTTGTTCTTGTTATTTGCTTTCTTCTCCCTAGAACGAGAATAACTCCTTCAAAGTCGGTAACAGAGCCATAGACAGCCCCTGTTCCCACTGTTAGTGATCCCACAAGAAGACCAACCTGTACAACTACAGCATATGCACAGAGGGCCCGGGTCAGTCCCATGCAAGCTCTCTGGTTGGTGGTTGTCTCTGTGAGCCCCTATGAGCTCAGATTAGTTGATTCGGTGATTTTTTTTCTTGTGGTGCCCTTGGCCCCTCTGCTTCCCATAGTCCTTCTTACCCCCTTCCATAGGACCCTTTCCTCCTACTGGGTTGTCTCATCCAGTCTTAATAGGAGAAGAGGTACCTAGTCTTACTTCAACTTGATGTGCCATGAGTGGCTTATATACTTGGGAGACCTGCCCTTTTCTTAAGAGAAAAGAGGAGGAATGAATGGGGAATCTGAGGGGGAGGGTGGGAGGAGAGGAGGGAGGGAGGGGAAACTGTGATAAGGCTAGGAAAATTTAATTAATTAATTAAAACAACAACAACAAAAAGATCAATTCTCTTATACAAAGAGGCCACAAAGAGTGCCCTTGTCTATTCTTTAAATGAGATTATCGCAAACAGATGGCTGTCTACAACCCAGAAAAAGAAGTTCTCAACAGATACTGAACTAGCTGGTACCATGGATTTCCTCGCCTGTAGCACTGTGAAAAATGAATTTGCTATTCTTAAACTACTTGCTTTGTTAGTTATTTTGTTCATGCAGCCCATGGAGACTGAGTTTCTTAGGAATAATCTACAGGAAGCTGATTGGTAAGAGACCTTGTACAGACTGAGTGACTATACTCTCGCTGTGCCTAAGTGGATCGAGTCAATACTTAAGCTTCATATGTTCTCCCTCACATGCCACCCAGCATGATATTTAAGAGAGACACCACTCCGGAGATGTTTCTCTCCCTTGAAACTGTACCCACCAAAAAAAAAAAAAACAAGTAACATGTTCTACTGTCCAGATTTACAACAGTCAGGGAATCGATCCAACCGCTATTCTGGGTCGTAGCATGCCTTAAGTACTCATCCAAACAACAGACTGTTCAAGGCTGTGTCACAAATCAGTTCCTCTTCCAGCAGTCCTTGCCATCTGGGCTAATTCTGTTCACGGTGGACTCATTCGCAGACGAAGCTACAATGGTAATGCCTATAGAAGAAATAACCCCTGACTCCTCTCTCTCTCTCTCTCTCTCTCTCTCTCTCTCTCTCTCTCTCCCTCTCTCTCTCTCTCTCTGACAATAAGTCCTGACTGTTTTTTGATAACTTTTTATGGGCACACTTGTTCCAATCCTCTTCCCCAGGCCCTCACTGCAGGTCTCTGTTACTTCACACCTGCATCTGCATCGCTGAAGTCATCTTCAAATATGACATATAACACCCCTTTCATTATCAGCACTTTCACTAACCAAAACTACAGCTCTGCCTTTGGACCTAGTGTTCAGTGCCTGTCCATAGGCTCTTTAGCATTGTTCTCTGTATTTAGACACTACACTTCTTGTGTAAAACTTCTTGTGATGGTTTGAATGGGAAATGTCCCCAACAGAGTAGGTGGTTTGAAGGAGAAATGCTCCCCAATTGACTAGGATATGTGAACACTTATTTCCCAGTTGATGGCACGGCTTGAGCAGTGGTAGGAACCATGCTGGAGGAAGGTCATTACTAGGGGTGGGCTTTGAGATGATTTTGCTTTACCCATTACTTTGTGTTTTTGGTCAAGTTTCCTGCTCTTGTCACTGTACCCACTGCTTGTTGCTATAATTCCTTCCATGATGGACTCTTATCCTTCTAGAACTATTAACTATTAACCAACACTGTTCTAGTTCCACAATGACCTCTTTGGCAGTTCTAACAGGATTTAAATGGTATATTATATGTGGGGACAAAAACCACTTGACCAAATTTAGTTGATTAATTAAACAAATTATATAATTAAAACCATTTTATAAGTGTGAAATGTTTTGTCATGCCCTGACCTTGTTGTCATCTTTTCTGCCCTTTCTCTGCTTAAAATATTTTCCTTGTATCCAATCAGCCCCCATCTTTCTTCCTTTGAGTTCAGGTTCATCGTCTCCTCCCCTCTTCATATGCCCTTCAGATTGTGGAATGTGATGATTTTCCTGCCTCTTTGTTGAAGGTCATCATGTGTATAAGTCACCCTGGTGGCTGATGAAGGGCAAACAACCCACTGAAAAATGTCGTCCCAGGTGCCTGCTTGCTAGGAAGAGGAATCAGACTGTTAGTCACCTCTTCTTTTGCTGCTGTTTGTTTTTGTTTGGTTGGGTTTTTTTTTTTTTTTGCCTTTTGTTTCTGCTTTTCGAGACAGGGTTTTGTTGTAGCTTTGGAACCTGTCTTGGAACTAGCTCTTGTTGACCAGACTGGTCTCAAACTCACAGAGATCCACCTGCCTCTGCCTCCTGAGTGCTGGGATTAAAGGCGTGAGACGCCACCATCCAACTCAGTCACCTCTTAAAGAACACCTACTTGTTCATCCCAACTCCCACCTTCCCAGAACTTCATCCTGGAGAGATTTTCATACTTATTCTTCCCTGTGACCTCTCTCCTCTTAACAGGGCCACACTCCTTCAGTTCACCCTGTTTAGAGAGCACTTTCATCTCTCCTGGGTGGGAATTTAGTCATAACAGCTTATTTGTACATACTCAATCTGGTTGAAGTTGTTTTCACTGCAATAATACCTTATATTGTCTTGTGAGCCTATATTACCAAACAGGGGCTGACATGTGAGCACCGCTAGTCAGTTTCTGGGTCTTTCACCACTCCTAAAGTGACTGGAAATATTTTCCCCTCTGAGGTGTAGAACTGAGTTCTACAGATTTTCCTGTAAAAAAAAAAAAAAAAAAAAAAAAAAAGGCCCTTTGACACAGAAAGCTGTTGTCTCTATGACAGAAGCAAGGGCAGAGGAGAGAACAGGGGTGAAGAATGGAGCTCTTCCAAACTCCAAAGACAAATATGCATAATTTTGCAAGGTCAGTGATAAAAATTTTCATGTAAAAACTCCAAAAAGTTTTCATGTCTCAAGTGCTCCAACTTTTATATATACATACACACACACACACACACACACACACACACACAAAGAGAGAGAGAGAGGGAGAGAGAGAGAGAGAGAGAGAGAGAGAGAAACACACATTCCATTTTGAGTCCAGTTGCATGAAAATTCTGAGCGTTTTTGCGGGGGTCATAGTGGCTCTGACTTTTGTTTGCCCTTGAGGTTAGCTGAGGTTTAACTGTACTCATCATTCTGACACCAGAGGAGATGTCCTGATGATTGCAGTAGGGAGAACGGAGCAGATGCATTATTTTTCACGCAGTGGTAAGTCTTACTCCTGGACCCAATGAGAAAAGAAAATGTCCCTTCACTTTTGTTTTGGGCAACAACCCCATAACAATGAGCAGCTCCTTTGGAAAGCAGTGGTCATAGTCCTCTAGCTGGAGATTATAAGGTACACAAAGGAAGAATTTCAACCATGCTTTCCACTTGAAAAGGCTGTTATTTCCTGTTATTCATTCCCTTCATCCTGACCATGTTTCTGAGACAAACACCAAAAACTTATTGCAGATATTAGTCACATGGTTTCATGCATGAAATAAAATATTATTTACAGAATGAAATTTAAGAAATAAAGGAAGGCAAGAGAGAGACGGAGAGAGAAATCACTTGTCCAAAAGTGGTGGTTTCTCTAAGTGTTAAATTTCTTACCTGAGCTGAGCATGGTGGCTCATGTCTTTATTCCCAGATTCTGAAGCAGAGGCAAGGAGGTCTCTTCAGGTAAAGGCCAGCTAGTTTACACAGAAAGTTCCCGGCTAGCAGGGCTACACAGCTAGACCCTGTCAAAAAACAAAAGCAGTTCCCTAACCTGAATCGTAAGACCAACTCTATTTTCACCTTTATTCTGTATTAATATAACTAACACAAATGGAGACACTGAATAAATAAAGATACATGGGTTACTGGTCTTTATTACAGCATTGCCATTATTAAAGTCCTTTATTGTCACAAGTAGAAGTGAGGGCCAGTTGTTGTGCATGAATATTTTACCTTAATACAAGTATTTTAAAATAAAACAAGCATCTGGGGTTCTTCAGAGCTGTGCAGCAGTTGCACTTGTTTCTCTATTAATTGGAAATTATATTCCAGTTGGTGCCCCCTTTCCAGTCTTGTTTAAAGTCTTTATCTCAAGACAGCAGGAGCAAATACCACCCCACCCCCATCATAGCCAAACATTCTTATGGGAAAAAAAATACAAATAACTAGAAGTTAAAAGTCTTGGTTTCCGGTATAAGATCTGAAATTTGGAGTTCGATTTATTTAAAATAAAGAATCTGTTCTAAAAATAGTAAAATATACAGAAAAACAATTCGGTTGGTCGTATACTTCTATTCAATTTTTGTGTGCAAATTTTTTTTAATTTGCAAACAAGTAGTATTTGTACTAGAGAATTTGTATCCTGTATTGTCTCCACAGACCCTCAGAAGCCTGCCTCTCACATGCAGATATCCAGCAGGCTTAAGGTCTGAAACAGCTTTTACAGTATGATACCATTTCATTCCCACTCTGGAGTAGAGCAAAAGACACCAAATAGAGGCTTTGTTCAGTTTGACGAACAAACCCAGGGCTTCATGTGACCCCTTGGTCCTTTCACCCTACTTATAAACACAAGGGAGACATCTCACCGACAACTTTGGCAATGAAAATATGCACCACGGTTTTTAAAACAGCAGGTGTAGACATTGGAAAGATACAACTGAAGGGAAGGGAAATGAGAAAACTCCCTGTGATTACTGGGAAATGAAACCATTACTCAACAGAAAATTTGGACTTCAGACTTAACACAAACCTCTTGTTGCCTTCTCACGTAGCTGGGAATGTACATCCAAAGGAAGCACCAAAATAATTTTCCAGAAATAACTGCAGGGAGAGAACGCCTAAGCAAAGAACGCTCTACAAATTAAAAGGGCACAAACAAATCCGGTCCCCCCCCCTCCCCGCAGAATTCTGGGGTAGAAGAGCCAGGGATAAATTAATCCTCTAGATCCTGAGACTCCGCGGAAAGCTCCCTCTAACCCGTTCATCCTCTGAGGTCTCCTTTAGGTATCTGTCTCTGAGATCAAACTCCTAAGTAATCGTGAGATGTTGAAACCCTTCAAATGAGAGCCCAGAATTCTGCTAATTTTGTATGCGCCCTGGATGTCTGGGAGAATAAATCCAGGCATTATTGGAATATACTTTCCTCAGTCGAAAGGGGGAAGGGGTGGATTGAGAAAATTTGCATCCTATGCTTAAAATTGCGCTTTTAGCTTCCTCAGGACACGCCTCGGGAGTTGGAAACACTTCGGAGCCTTTTTGCTCTTTTCCTGTCTCCACATGCCCCACACCCACACAGAGATTTCTAGGTCTCTTGCACTTGGTGCAAGGTCTCCTCCTCCCTCGTGCACAAACGCTAAGTTCTCACCAGCTCCTGAACTCTGTAGATAAGGTGAGGCAGAGGAACTTGAATGCTGCAAACCCTGGGCTCTCTAGAGGAGGTCCCCGCCAGAAACCTAGGGAAGGGTGGGGGCACGCCATCGCTGGCATCTCAGAGAACCCAGTTTGCCCTCCCTGGCCAGCAGTGAGCGCCTCCTGTAGTAGACACGTGGCCTTGCCAGAACTTATAGAACTTATAGAAAGGCCAACAAAGTATACAAATAAAAGTCCGCCTTCCAAACAGTCTGATTGTCAGTTTCTCTGGTGAGTGCTGACACCAAGAAAAGAAACCATCCACAAACCTTCCCGGCTCCTCCCCACTGGCCAGGATTCATACTTAAAAATCCACTCCAACAGAAACCTTTACCATTTGATTTTGAGTTCAAGAAAACACAGAAAGTGGGCGCTGTGCAGGAGGTTGGGGGTGGGCGTATGTGCTATACAGCAAGGCAGGGATTTTCTGGGCACCATAGGCCAAAGTAGTCCCAACTGCTTTTTCAGAGCAGCAGTGAGTGCCTAAGAGCCAGACTCAAAGGAGAGGATTGACACCCAAGGGGGAGTAGATGCTTCTAAAGCAAGAGGGAGGGGCAAACAAGCAAAGTCTTGAACCTCAAAGTTCCAGAAGTAGGGCAGAGGGGTGGCAGTTCTCATGGAAGATGTCCATGCAGTTTATATTTTTTGTTTGGATTTTCTACCTTGAACCGCCGAGGTTTAATTTCGAAGAGGGAAAAGGTTATTGCAACTATCAAAACTGATCCTAGGGCCAAAGACCGAGCCAATAACTTTTCACATAGACTCTAGGAGGCTTCTAGGGTTTCTGCAAAGAGCACTATTCCCTTGAAAAGGATTAGAGAGAGAGCAAGATCTGAAAGCATGGGCCAAGAAGCTGCATATCATAAGAAAAGCAAGTTATCTTAGGTGTTGCTTCCAGGGCTGAGATACTGAGTGAGTGGGGAGGGTCCTGCAAACCCTACAGCCCACCCCATCTTCCTCCTTCTCCATCAACACGATCACCACCATCATCGTCGTCATCATCATCATCATCGGCGGCAGAACTTGCACTTGATGATCTTCTTAAATGCGTTTTGAAAGTCCTTGTTGAAATAAGCATAAATAACTGGGTTGAGCAGGGAGTTGGAGTAGCCCAGCCAGTTGATTATGGCACCCAACAACGCAGGCATGTGGCAGCTGCTCTCACAGAACGGCAAGACCAGAGCCACAATGAAAAAGGGCAGCCAGCAGAGAATGAAAGTACCCATAATGATGCCCAGCGTCTTCACTGTCTTCCTCTCACGGGCCAGGGCCATCTTGCGCTTAGCCTCAGCATTCCGCTCATTTTTTCTCTCCAAACAAGCTGGGACGTAAGATGTAGCTTCGGACTCGCTGGGCAGCGGCAGGTGCTCTTTGGAGTTACCCACTCGGTGCACCTCGATCACCTCCAGGGTGGCATCGTCGTCACCCTGCCTCACTGCACCATTAGCGCATGAAGACCCCACAACCTTGTTCTCAGCGCTGCGCCTCCAGTCCCCACTACCTGGCTGTCCATTCAGACTCTTCTTGGGGGGCGGGGCCGACGATGTACTGAAACTGTCGCCCGCTCCCTTCTTTTCTACCTTCTTGACAGTCTTGCGGATCCGGAAGCGCGCGGCTCGGAAAATGCGCCCATAGAGAACCAGCATGAGCAGCAGCGGAATATAGAAAGCTCCGAAAGTGGAGTAGATGGTGTAGCCGTGGTCCTTGCTGATGGTGCACGCGTCGGGGTCCGAGCGGTCTTCCGGGGTGCGCCAGCCCAGCATGGGCGGGATGGAGATGAGAAAGCCAATGAGCCAAGTGAGCGAGATCAGCGCAGCAGCGCGCCGAGGCGTCCTCTTGTTCACGTAGTCTATAGGGTCGGTGATCGCCCAGTACCTGTCTAGCGCGATGGCGCACAGGTGCAGGATGGACGAGGTGCAACACAGCACATCCAGGGCAATAAACAGGTCACAGGTAACCTGGCCCAGAGTCCACTTGTTGAGCACCTGGTACAGAGCAGCCATGGGCAGCACCAGCACTGACACCATGAGGTCGGTGACCGCCAAGGAGCCGATGAGATAGTTGGCCACATTCTGGAGGGAGCGCTCCAGGGCGATAGCAGCCACCACGCAGGCATTGCCCAGCACCGCGCAGAAAATGAGCGTGCCCAGAAGCAAAGAGGTGATCACTTGATAGCTGAAGGTCACGTCGGAGATGTCAGTAATGTTGCCGCCTGTCCCGAAGGGCTCCTGGGACGAAGTGGTGTTGTTGCCCTCGCCAAGACTGAGCATATCCATGCCTGCCTGCACTCCTGGTGGGGTTGGGGAAGGGAGGGGGAAAGAGCTGCAAGAGGATCTCCCTCGCCCCTCCCCCTAGGGTCTTCCTCCTTTTCTGGGGGGATTTCAGAGGGAGGGGATCCAGGGACTGGAGCGGGAAGTTCTTACAGTTCTGGCGAAGGCGTCTGAGAGGAGCAGCTTCCCGGCGCACTCTCTCGCTTGGCTCCCGCCGGTCCTGAGCGCTCAGAGGCTCCAGCTAGGAAACTGTAGTTGAGCTGAGAGCAGCTTCCAAATTTCTGGGTGGTGGAGATGTGGCTGGAACATCTGTTTCACGCTGTCCATTTCACTTTGTCGCTGCCCAACTAGCTGCGGGAGCCGGACTCCGCCGACTCCAATCAATCCAATCCGTCAGTCTCCAATCTCAGAAGTCTCGCATTCCAGAAACCCCATCCTCCCGGGTCACTCTGTGACCCTCGTCTCCTAGTTCCTTCTCTCCCTCTCTCTCTCTAGACTTTGCCAGTGTTGTTTTTTTCTTTTTCCAGCTTCCTTCTCCAGGCTTCCTCCCACTGGCTTTTCCTTCCAGTTCCCCTTTCCTTCTTACCTCTCTTTCTTTATTCCTCTACGCGTCGCTCAGACAGCTGGTCTCCCTTCCTCCCACGCTAACCCCCACCACCACCGAACACTTCCCCAGTCCTGAGTGCCTCCTTCTTCTGGGTCCCCGCCCTCCGGTCCCTCTAGACAGGCGTCTTTACATTCGAGTCGACACACTCAGAACTCACTTCATATACCCACTCCGATCCGCTAGTCAGACCAATATTTTAACAGATCAAACTCCGCCTTCTACCCTGCAAACTAGAGGGAGATGAAAAAAAAAATGCTTCCCCCACTACCCATTCCCTTGATTGTTGCCAACTTCTTAAATAGAGCCAGTTTCACCGTATGGTTACAGGAAGTGGGGACAGACACAGGAAGCCTGAAGGTTGGAAAGCTGGGCAGCCTTGAGCAACCCTCTAAATTACTAAGTAGAGAGTGTGGGGTCTTCGCTTTTAAAAATAGGGCTCATTTAACATCATAGTCTGGGATTCTTTCCTATTATCCTGTGGACCCGGGATAGAAAAAATATTATAAAGGACACATTAAAGGACAAAAGCTGATAAATAGCTGGGTCTCAAAGAGAAGACAAGAAATTCAAGTAGGTGTGTATTCTAAACACACACGCACACGTGTTCACGCAAACACACACACACACACACACACACACACACACACACACTTCTGTTGCCATTACTGGCGTCATTTCAATGACTTTAACACCTCCCATAGCTTTGCAGCAATTAAATCTGGGGAAAGAAATGTTTGTCTGCGTGTTGTAAACAAGGACCTGCATTTCTTACGAACTTTGGACTTTAATCTCCCTTACCAGGCTGCAAATCTCCGGATAACTTGGTGGAGACCCTTGTCTCTGGCAGCCGTGCGTCTCTCTGAAATCGGGTTCAGCACCTGGGACAGTTCTATGCAATAAGGGCTTGCTTATGCCGCCACCTTCCGGCAAGTGCTTCAGAGCGCCATCTGGAAATGCTTGTCTTAAAGAAATTAGCCTGTATCCAGTAAACCCAAAGACACTAAGAGAAAGAATATTATAAAATGAAAAACAACCACTAAACGCTGTCACTTTAAATACTTTCCTCAATAATCTCTTTTTTTATTTTTCCTTGGCTTTTATACCAGGCCTGTTATATGTTCTAGCTCCCTTTGAAAGGTTAAGACACATATTAGTTCATAAATTCTATAGGAAAAATGTCCCTTTGCAAGACGAAAACAACACTTTCTCCTTTTTTATTGTTTTTTGAGCTAGTGTTGTGTTGCTACATCCTGAGTTACAGAACTCACACTTTTTGTTGGGGGAGGCTGACATCATTACCTTTTCCAATACTAGAAAAAAAATGACAATACTAAAAGTAGAGACTTCTAGGAGTTTGTTTTGAACTTTTTGGGGAAGCACAAAAACAATCAACCCCAATTGAACACAAAGAGCAGAAATTCCAATTAATCAGAATAAACACAGCACACTTATAAATTCTGATTACATACCTGAAGTGGAGAAATGTAGAATGCAATTTTCAAAGCAGTCAGTTCTAGATAGCATTCAGAGGCACTACAAGGTGCAGCGGTTTTACTACTGTGCTTAAATCTGAGCTTTGAATTTAGAGCTTTGAATTCTTAAGACCAAAACAGAGAACAATGACTAAAGCATGACAGAAAGTCTAGCTGAGCAGACATATGCAATACAGGCCGTGTGCCTGGAGACAGACTGACCTGGACTTGGTTCCCCCTCAATCATTTCAGCAAACCAAAACAATGATGCTGCCATGGGTGGTGATTCATATGGAACACTGAAGAAAGATAGATGAGTAAGCACAAAAGATAGACTCTGAGAAACTCTTTTTAAAACATGAGTATATGTCAATGTTTCCAGTAAAAGCTCTCACAAATACAGAATTAAATTGTTTATTTAAAAAAGTTGCAACTGCAGAGATTATAACAGACATTTAAAGTCCGAAAGTTCCAAGAACAAAACTTTAAAAATGTAGCTAAGAGTACTAACAGAGTAAAAGAAGAAACATTTATATTAAAAGAGCAAATATATACTTATCAAGAACCTACTTGAATATGAATTGTCAAATTTAGCATATGTAAATATGTAACAAATATGCAAATATGTAAATATCAAATCAGGAGACAGGTCAGTAAGCAACTGCCCTTGATGTACTGGATGCTAGATGGTTTAACAGCTAACAAAACTTACTTTTCCCTTCCAAGAAAGTTAAAAGGCTTTGACTCTGGAGTTCATGTTCATGAAGTCTGGGGTTTGCCTTTCTACCTTAATATGATAGAGTATAGCATGTTGAATATGATAGAGTCTACCATGTTTACTATGCACCAAGTTTAATTCATGTTTAGGAAATTCCCAAGTAGTTCATATTCATCTTCAAATTAACGACCATGAGATATCAAATATTTCATTTATTAAATTTTAGGAGATCTGTAGACACTCTTTCAGACACTAGGAAAAAAGTAATAATGGATGTGCAGTGCTATGGTCCTGAAGTTTCCAGGTAACTAATAATTATGCATACACGATTTTTGTTGAACTTATAGTACTGTGATATATAATAAAAACAGAGTAGTGTTGCCTCTCTCCATGTTCACACTTAGCCCATTCTTCTAAGTTTAACTCATAAGAGATGCAGAAGCTAGCCAGGTATGGTGGCCACAAATCTTTAATCCCAGCATTTCCTTCTGGAGGTAGCGGCAGGCAGATCTGCATGAGTTTTAGTCTAGCCTGTTGAGTTTTGGACCAAGCAGGGACCTGTACTGAGACAGTCACAAAATCATCATCACCATCACCATCAGCCAGTCTGAAGTGATGCAGAAGATGAGACAGGACTGACTGAATGGTGGAGCATCCTCCAAGCAGACATAAACTCATTCTTCAAGGTTTGTGAAGTTAACATAGGGAAAAGCTTGCTCTATAACGGCTATGACTGATATGATCTCCAGACAAGAATACCAATACCTCTACTTTTATTTCTAGCTTGAATTTACTAGAATCAAGGTAGAACTTGTCAGATTATAGATCTGAGTGTGATATATCATCCATCATGGGGAAATTCTCTGAAATACTTTATGAGAAAGAAATTATTTTTAACATTTTCATGGAAATTTGATCCAAGCCCAGCATTTTGAGGTAGTTCTTGGACAAGGCATGTAAAATAAAAAGATTCTAAGTTTAAGATTTGCAGTGATCAGAGCTGAAGTTGGGATCCATCAGTAACTGCTTAAACAGCATGTTCCCCTTACACGAAAGCTTTGGTTAAGGCGAGAAGATGCTGACTAATTGAAAACCAACTTACAAAAGTTATTTCTAAAAGTTCCTACTTGAAAAGAAAAATGGTTTAGTTCTTTGACACAGGATAGATTATCTGAAGCTAAAAATACTACTCTAAATTAATGTTCTCTGATCCTTAAATACCAAAGTAGTAAGATAATTATATTTTTCCAGAACTCTGAGTTTTGGCTGGAAATCATTAGAAAACTAAGATTTAGACAGGAAATTTTGTTTAGATATTCTGAGAACGAAGGCTTTCTTATTACTAAAAATTTATAAGAAATTCAGATAAACAAATAAAATAGATTCTCTAAGACTGAATAACGTTTCTTGTGTTTAATCCTCACCATCTGTCTCCTCTAGGAATGTCATTTCTTCCCTGCTGTCTTCCTGCCATGCACTTCTTGTGGCAGAAGAAGGGGCCTGGGACTTCATTAGCAAATCACAAAAATGCTGTCTTCTTGTTTGCTAAACAATCAAATGGCTGCATGATGACCACATGATGCAATACACTTTGATAACCCAAGGTAATCGTCAACAAAATTTGAAAAAAAATTATAGTGATGCAGAGTGATAACATTAACTGTCTCTCTAGTGATAGTTTCTCAGAAACACAGGGAATGAGAAATAGGTGTGCATAGTGAGAAAATAACAGTTTATAAAACAAGACTTATGAGGTCTTGTTTCATGAGAATCCATTATAAAGACAACTTCCATATGGATGTTATTCTCTTTTATTTCTTAAAGTCTGGGTAAAATACAAATGGATTAAAAAATATGATCATTGTATTCTGGAGCTTCTTGGCCTAAATCAGGATTTACTGAAGAGGAAAAACAAACGTGCCAATGAGAGTTCAATACCTGGTGTTGAGTAGGAGTCTTCCCTTTCCCCAGGAACTCTGCCATGTTTGTTTCAAAGCGTGAAATAAACAATTGCAGTATATAGCTGCCAAAGAAATACTTAAAAAAAACACCCACTAAAATATGGAAGAGAGAGTTTCACTTTTAGACAGTATCAGATTCATAATAATTGGCATTAATAAATATCTATTTTCAGATCTCAATTCCTGTAGAATACTATCTAAATTATTCCAATAGAATATTTCTGTGAATATTTTCATTGTTCACTTTTGGAAGAGTAGGAGCACAGTTGAAATGATAAACATAGGAATGTGAACGTTGCTGCTTGTTAATCTGAGGGAATTTGAAATTCAGTTCAGTCAAATAATTACGTAAAGTAAAAATTTATTTACTCTGTTTATTTAAAGTTGGGAGGATGCCCACATTTTTATTTCCTTTGGCAAGTATTTTTTAATATAAAATCTATGATTCAGTGCATCGGTTTAATATTTCTTGTAGGAAACAATACTTCCCAAACATAATACATATGATAATGGAATACTAGCCTAATATAAGTCATCTGTTCTATGGAAACAATAGTATCTAGTATGCTATCCGGGAATGGCTCAGGGCTGCAGTTCTATACTGAATACCCTAGGCTCTAATTTCTACCCTTTTATTTAGCATTACATACAAATTACAAAATTGAAAGGAATGATGTAATGAATATTCATGTATTTAAGAAAAGGTTAATAAAAAGAATAGTTTTAATTCAATTGGAGTTATATTTGCTCTTAAATTTAGTATTTATCATTCTCTTGAATGATTACACTTCTCTATCATACATAAGTATTGCTAGCAAATATAGAAATGAGATGAATATATATATATATATATATATTCCTCCTCCTCTTCTTCTTTGCTCATTTTTGTAGCATACATTCATGTTAATACAAACATAATTAATTAATTTGACTTCATTTGTGTAAACTTAAGCTGTTAGTCTGATGTGACAGTTTACTCATGTTTTGGTAAGAGGAAATTTAAATTATTCCAAAATTTTCCATTCTTAATATTACTTCTACTGGAAGTCTTGCA